CCTCCTCCTCCTCCTCCTCCTCCTCCTCCTCCTCCTCCTCCTCCTCCTCCTCCTCCCTCTCCTCCTCCTCCTCATCCTCCTCCTCCCATCGTTTAGGCTGCCTGGGCCCCTCACCAGGGCCCCCCCCTCAAACGGCTTGAGGCTGGCCGCGGGGAAGTGGTCTGGGGGCCCACGTTGCGAACACAGCGTTGCCCACTACGGTCTGGCAGGTGTCGGCTTCCTGGGGGGCCCTCGCCAGGCCCCGGGGGACCGCCAGAAGCCAACTCGGGCTGCAGCGCCAACCCAGAGGGAGGGGGGGAGCGAGAGGGAGGGAGAAAATGAGAGAGGGGCGGAGAAGGGAAGAAGGAGGAGGAGGAGGAGGAGGAGGAGGAAAAGGAGGACGAGGACGACGACGACGACGACGATGGAGCATGGAGCAGGAGGTGGAGGAGGAACGCGGAGGATGAGAGGGTGACAATGTGGGGAGGAGGGAGCTGGGAGAGGGACGTAGAATAAGAGCATGCGTCGCGTCGGCGTGGCTCGAGGAGGCTAACTCCAGAATGGGAGAAGCACGCCCTTTGGCTAATTATGGGTGGCACTTTCCAGAGTTCCTGGAGATATTATTTCTGGTCGCAGGCGGCTGCGCTGACAGAATGCCCGACGTTTGTGAGAGATGGTGGGCCGTTGTAGTGGCGCGTAATACAATATATTGCCAACCAGTCTAGATAGGCTTCGAGCCGTAATCCAAGTCCAGGGTGCACGGGCAAGGAGGAGGATGTGGATGGATAAGCAGAAGATGCCGATGCCGCTACTCGCCTGACCTCTCCCAGGGTGCGTTCTGACCAGAAGCTCGAGAGGATTCCAGGCGTGGCGACGAGGCCTTCCAGGAGGCCTAAAAGTCGGAAGCGAGGTAAAGGTAGCAGTATCGGCACCTCCTCCTCCTCCTCCTCCTCCTCCTCCTCCTCCTCCTCCTCTTCTCCTCTACCTCCTCATCCTCTCCTCCCTCCTCCTCCTCTACCCCCTCCTCCTCCTCCTCCTCCTCCTCCTCCTCCTTCTCCTCCCTCCCCTCCTCCTCCTCCATCCTCCTCCTCCTCCTCCTCCCCCCCCTCCTCCTCTCCTCCTCCTCCTCCTCCTCCTCCTCCTCCTCCTCCTCTCCTCCTCCTCCTCCTCCTCCTCCTCCTCCTCCTCCTCCTCCTCCTCCTCCTCCTCCTCCCCCCTCCTGAGTTGGAGGAGGGAACTGGGGGGAGGGCGGAAAAGGACGGAGAGGGGAGGCTTGCCGGAGCTGGAATCGGCGATACACAGCAGATAAATCGGCGACAGGCCCCCGATAGCGACTCCGCACGTTCGGGGGCGGGGTGGGCTATCAGGCCCCCATCAGCGATGAGCGGGCGATCTGGAGCGATGCGTCCTCCCCTGAGCCTATCCCCCTCTGAAGCTGCGCCCCCGATGTCTCAGACAACCGGCGTCCCGATTTCTTCAAGACACGAGCCCAGGACCTCTCGACCCATTCTCCCGACCCGCCGAATGTCTAGGGTAGGAGGACCGGGCTGGGAAGAGGACGGAGGAGGAGAACGGAGTGGCCGAGGCCCTGGGCAGCATCCTGGCCGACGCACCACCGCAGACGGCGCGGCTAAGGCCCGGGGCCCAGCCGGGGGCGACGGCAGCACAGTACCCCCCGGTGCTACAGGCGATCGCGCGGACTTGCCCCGTCCCCAGGGGGATTGCACGGGGAGGCCGCTCCCCTTCCTTGCCCTCCCCCTTCCCGCCTCCTCTTCCCCCTTCTCCCCCTCCTCCTCCTCCTCCTCCTCCTCCTCCTCCTCCTCCTCCTCCTCCTTTTCTTCTCCTCCTCCTCTTCTCCTCCTCTTCTCCTCCTCCTCGTCCTCCTCCTCCTTCTCCTCCCCCTTCCCGCCTCCCTCCTCCCACCCGACGGAGCAGGATGAAGTGGCTCTGGTGGCTTTCGGGCCGCCACCGGCTTCTCCTTGGGACGATCTGGAAGGCCTTCTGGCGAGGCGCAGCTGCCGGAGAGCACCCCAAGGCCAGAAAATCGCCGAGAGCCAAAGAAAACAACGCCCAGAAGCCTCAAACCTCCCACCTGAAACTTCACCTCACCCCCTGGTGTGGGAGGCGTGAGTTGGAATCTTCACAGATAGTCCAACAATAGTCTGGGGACGATGTTTTGAATATATTTTGGAATATTTTCAAATCTGTGTTGAATATGTTTGTAATTAATCGTCCAAGCTCCGCCTGTATAGGAGGACATGCCCGACCTGAAGCTGCGGGGGAGGGCGCGGTCGGCGTCTCCGTGCCGGCGCGGTGGGGCGCCCAGGCGCGGGGGCGTGCCCCGGCCTGGCGCGCCCGTCTGCAACTGCGCGCCGCCGACTGCGAGGAGGGAGGAGTGGAAGGAGGAGGGAGGAGGAGGGAGGAGGAGGAGGAGGAGGAGGAGGAGGCGGAGGCGGAGGAGGAGGAGGAGGAGGAGGAGGAGAGAGGAGGAGGAGGAGGAGAGGGAGGGAGGAGGAGGAGGACGGGAGACGGAGGGGAAGGAGGATGAGGAGGACGGAGGGAGGAGGAGAGGAGGAGGAGGAGGAGGGCGACGAGGACGACGGGGACGACGAGGACGACGAGGACGACGAGGACGGCGAGGACGAGGAGGACGACGAGGACGGCGAGGACGAAGAGGAGGAGCAGGAGGAGGAAAAGGAGGAGAAGGAGGAGGAGGAGGAGGAGGAGGAGATGGAGAGGCTCGCCGCCGCCGCCCCCTGGGGGCAGGAGCTGGAGACCACCCGGACCGAGCTGAGCGCGCAGTCAGAGAGGCGCCCCGTTCCGCCAGTGCGCCCAGGCTCTCGGCGCGGAGGGCGCGGCCCTGCCGCGGGCCGGAGGGGTGGAGGATGGGGGCGATTCGGCGACTCGGCGTCGGGGTCTACGCAGAAGGCACGAGGAGCAGAGATCTCCACGCCCTTCGCGCGAGAGGAGGAGGGAGGAGGAGGAGGAGGAGGAGAAGGAGGAGGAGGAGGAGGTCCTGCAGCCAGTCTGGTGTCACGGCCGCGGGGAGAAAGGCGGAGGGGGAAGTTTCCCCCCCCCCTCTCTCTCTCGCTCTCTCTCTCTCTCTCTTTTCCGTTCCACCCTGCCCCTCTCGACGAGAATCTGCCGCCACGCCATTGGCTCTCCCTTGGATGTCCCGAGAAAGCCGCAGAGCATTCAACTTGACCACAGCGACGGATCGACGAATGAAATGCCACGTGCACATTCTTATCCGCATGAGATCCTCACCCATCCACTCTCGATCTCATGAGTAGTGGCCTGAAGCGTGTCGGTCCGCGGCGGGTCTCGTGCGCATAGTGGGCTTCATTCACAGGCTTAATTTTCCGCTTCCACTTTCGAGTCCCCCCTCTCCTACAGCCTCTCCCCCTCCCTTCTCTGTCTCCGCCATCCCCCATCCTGCCTCCTCTTCCTTCCACCCCTCTCGCATCCGTCCCCCGCCCCATCCCTCCCTGGGCCTGCCCCCCACCCCCGCGTGCTTTCCTCCTCCTACTCCTTTTCCTCTACCTTTTCTCCTCCTCTCCTCCTCCTCCTCCTCCCTTGTCCTCCTCTCCTCCCTCTCCTCCTCCTCCTCCTCCTCCTCCTCCTCCTCCTCCCCTCCTCCTCCTTGTCCTCTTCCTTGTCCTCCTCCCCCTGCTCCTTCCTCCTTCCTCCTCCTCCTTCCTCCTCTCCTCCTCCTCCTTCCTCCTTTTCCTCCTCCTCCTCTCCTGCTCCTCCTCCCCCTCCTCGTGCTCCTCTTCCTTTCCTCCTCCTCCTCCTCCTCCTCCTCCTCCTCTCCTCCTCCTCCTCCTCCTCCTCCTCCTCCTCCTCCTCCTCCTTCCTCCTCCTCCTCCATCCTCCTTTTCCTCCTCCTCCTCCTCCTCCTCCTCCTCCTCCTCCTCCTCCTCCTCCTCCTCCTCCTCCTCCTCCTTCGCCTCCGCGCGCGCCCAGAGGTGGGCCAAGGAGGCCGCGGACGTCGTGGAGGCGCAGCGGCGGGACATGAGCGCGGCGCTGGAGAAGGCCGCGCGGGGAGGAGGAGGAGGAGGAGGAGGAGGAGGAGGAGGAGGAGGAGGAGGAGGAGGAGGAGGAGGAGGAGGAGGAGGAGGAGGGGGGAGAGGGGGAGGGAGCGAGAAGGCCGCGCGGGGAGGAGCCGGAGCGGGAGCAGCGGGAGCGGCAGCGGTAGCCCGAGCGGCAGTGCGCCCATGGAGCGCGTTGCCCTCTTGAGGCGCTCCACAAAGGGCCTGGCCTGGCCTTGGAGGATCGAAGGGAGAGTTGGGGGAAGGGAGGCCCCTCCCCTCGCTCGCTCGTTTGGGGAGGCACCCCCCTCGCTCGCTCGTTTGGAGATGGAGGGCATCGTTTGGGGAGGCACCCCCCCCTCGCTCGCCGCCCGATCTTCCGCCCGCGGCCCTCGCTCCCACCCTGGCCCAAGACGTCCGAGGTCTTACTCCTTTCCGTGCGGGGCCCCCGGAAGTACCGACCCTCGGGCTCGGGCGAGTTCGCAATGGGGGGTGACCAAAACGAGCTGTTCTAAAAGGGGCCTTGCCTTCGAGGATTGAAGGAATTGTCATCTCTTCCTCGGCTCAACGGCGGCGGAAGGTCAGTGGAAGTAAAACGAGGCGGAGCTCGGCGGAAGGTGGCGGAAGTAAAAGACGCGCCCCGAAGAGATGACAACATTTTTGGGTTTGGAACCAGCAGGGGCCACTGTACTGGGGCCCCTTAAGGGCAATGTTTCTCACCCCCCTTTAAGAAGACACCCGCCATTACCACCCGCCCGATAGGCGCGGCTTCTCATCCCGAATCGTTTTTGACAGTCCCAGGGTCCTGCGAGGGCTTCCAGAGACCGAAAAAGTGTGGGCCCCTTTCCTCCGAATAGTTTTCGGGCCGACGCTCCGGCCTCCAGCGGCTGCTAGAGACGAGCTGGGGATCCCAGAATGCTCTCGGCGAAGCGTAGTTGCTCGAGAGCATACCAGGGGCGAGAAAACGTCCACGGGCTAGCGAAAACGTGCGGAAATCTCGGGCCTTCGGATAGCCGATGAGGAGAAGGAGGAGGAGGAGGAGGAGGAGGAGGAGGAGGGGGAGGGGGAGGAGAGGAGGAGAGAGGAGGAGGAGGAGGAGGACCTGCCCCTGCCCTTGTGATTTGTTACAACAGAGGGAAGTCTGGGATCGCGTCTTCCGTCCCCTGCGCCGGCGCCCCTCTCATCCGCCTCCTCCTCCTCCTCCTCCTCCTCCTCCTCCTCGTCTCCTCCTCCTCCTCCTCCTCCTCCTCCTCCTCCTCCTCCTCCGCCTCCTCCTTCTCCTCCTCCTCCCCCTCCTCCTCCTCGCCCCTCTTCTCCTTTCTCCTCCTCCTCCCCTCCTCCTCCTCCTCCTCCTCCTCCTCCTCCCCTCCTCCTCCTTCCTTCACCTCCCCCTCCTCCTCCCCCTCCTCATCCTCCTGCTCCTCGTTTTCCTCCTCATCCTCCTCCTCCTCCCCCTACTCCTCCTCCTACTCTCCTCCTTCCTCCTCCTCCTCCTCCTCCTCCTCTCCGCCCCCTCCTCCTCCTCCTCCTCCTCCTCTTCCTGCTCCTCCTCCTCCTCCTCCCCTCCTCCTCCTCCTCCTCCTTCCTCCTCCTCCTCCTCCTCATCCCTCTTCCCTCCCTCCCCTCCCCCTCCTCCCCCTCCCTTCTGCCTCCCTCTCCTCCTCCTCCTCCTCCTCCTCTTCCTCCTCTCCTCTCTTCTCCTCCTCCTCCTCCTCCTCCTCCTCCTCCTCCTCCTCCTCCTCCTCCCCCATTCTTTTTTCTTCGCCATGTATGATTGTGAAGCTTGAAAATTGACAACGGTATCACAGATGGGCGGGTCGTTTTCAAAACGTGGCTCTCGATTTCTCACGCCGCGCACGTTTGCTTAAAACTGTGCAAGAGTCTCACTGATTGAGGTCGAGTCGTTGTCTTAATGTGGTTATCGTTTTAGCGTCGCGCACACTCGTTTTAGATATTTGCAGGGGCTTACGTAAAGGATTGAGGGCGGCTCCATTTCAAAATGTGGTTCTCGCATTTGCGCCGCGCACTTCTACATTAAAACGTTGCAAGAGTTTCGCGGATTGAGTGCGAGTGGTTTTCAAAATGTGGTTCTCGCCTTAGCGCCGTGCACATTCGCTTTGAACATGTGCAAGAGTTCCACGGATTGAGGGCGAGTCCTTTTCACAATGCGGCTCTCGCTTTAGCGCCGTGCACATTCGTTTTTTTTTTGAAAAAAAAACAAAAAGAAAACTGTTGCATAAGTTTCACGGATTGAGACCGGTTCTGTTTTTCAAAATGTGGTTTTCGCCTTAGCGCCGCGCGCATTCGTTTACACATTGTGCAAGTGTTTCACGGGTTCCCATGATCAACATATCAGAGATGGTGTCTTGGAAAGGATTCAGGACCATGCGGGTGCAACAGTTATGTTGAGTCGCGGTGCTGAAGTCCCAGGAATAGCGTTCTGGCACGATTTAGGATCGTCAAGACGCAACGGTAAGGTTGATCCGTGGCGCATGGATCCCGAGAACAATGTTTATGCATGCTTCAGGGTCTTCCAAATGGTGTCATCCAACGAGGCAGTTCCCTCAATGGAAATGAACATGTCTAGGGGCCTATGGAGAAGGAGCTTGGAGGGAGGGTTTATTCCAACATCGTTGGTGACTCTTGGGTTTGCACTGATCCTCCTCCTCCTCCTCCTTCTCCTCCTCCTCCTCCTCCTCCTCCTCCTCCTCCTCCTCCTCCTCCTCCTCCTCCTCCTCCTCCCCCGCGCCGGCGCCCCGGGAGGCCAGCTCCGAGGCCCAGGCCGCCAGGGAGGGCCTGCGGGAGACCATGGACAAGCAGGTCGGGCGCTGCCAAGGGGGGTCACCAGTACTCTAGCAGTGGCGAAGCGTCCTGGCGTGCCTATAGGCCTACCAAACAATTTTCTAATAACCTCTTGTGATTTCCACGAAATGTTCTTAGAACATTTCTGGCTGGGACTGTTTTGTTTTAGCACATCGGGTTTATGTTCTAAGAACATGTTTTTTTTTAGATATGAGTACATTGTTCTTGCTCTTAGAACATTTCAGGGTTCTAAGAACATGTCGTGGTAGGCCTGTGTGAATGCCGGGACGGTCGGTCCCTGCTCAAAGTACCGGTCACCACCGCTTCCCGGAAATCGAAAATCAAGGAGGAGGGGCGATCGCGGATCGAGAAGGTGTTGGACGTTTTTGGCGCGTCGATTTTTAGTCCAGCGGGGGGCATTGGGGCGTTCGGCGGGCCCGTTTACTAGAGGAGGTGGCGACCGTCTTCGTGGTGGCCCCCTTTGGTGCCGTCCCAAGGTGAAGCAGCTGGAGGGCGAGCTCGCGAAGGCCAAGGCCACTTCGCCCCCCCCCCCCCCAACTCCCCCCCCCCAGCGTTCACGCACACACGTTCACACACACACACACACACGTTCACACACACACACATACACACACACACACGCACACACACTTGTTCCCTCCAGCCGCCAGGTGACAGCACCGCAGCGTGTAGTGAGGCGGGCGCGCGCTTGGCTCAGTTGCCACCTGGCGCTGCAGATTCCGATGGTCAGGACGAAAGCTGATGCATCCAGAAGAACGCGAGACCCCGACTGCACGCGGAGAGTGCCGGTGAGGCCATGCAGGTGCCGAGGCGGGCGAAGCCACGAGGCAGAGGTGCAGGAGGATAAAAACGAGGGGTCCGAGTCTTGCCTCCACGCAGCCCGCAGAAGGGTGCGACGCGAAAGAGGCCCAGTGCAGCACCGACACCAGCTCAGGTTGAAGAGAGGACAGAACTGGCCAGCAGCCCGGCCAAGGGCGCACTGCTCGCGCGCGAGGTGCCCACGGCAGGAAGACGGATGCCCGAGGGTGACACAAGCTTGAAAACAACTTCACGCACACGCACACACAGAGACGCACACCTAGAGGAGGAAGCGATAGTTCGCCGCCACGGCTGAATTCGCATCGATCTCCTGGGCAGAGCGCACCCCTAGAGAGGTCTTGGAACTAGCGGCGTCGACACCTTGTTACCACCCCATACATACATAGACACCGATTTCCGACGAATTGATGTTTCAACCCAGGCGGTTTTCATCGGTTTCGGCTTCTAGGGTTTCGGATTCTAGGGTCCGTCCATCAAGGACGAATCGAGGGCGAAAAAACAATCCTGGGGATGCGGACGGGACTTCTTGGGCCATGGATCGGAAAAGACACATCGGTGGACGTCAGGGCATACACGTTGCAGGGTTCAGTTTGATCCGAATCGACGTCGGTTCTGGCCGACTAGGTTCGATTCGCCTCTAGTATGTTCCAACGATCCGATGCGGCGCCCGATGGCGCTCTTGTGCATCCTGGCTCAGCCGATGTGATCTGGTTCTGACTCCATGCCGATGCGGTCCGATCCGATACTCGTTCTGATCGGGTCCGATTTGGCGACTAGATGTTGGCTAATCCTGCCCCCTGCCCGAGAAGGGAAGAGGGGGAGGAGGAGGACGAGGAGGACGACAGGGAGGATGTCGAGGACAAGGGCGAGGACGAGCACCAGGAGGAGGAGCAGGAGGAGGAAGAGAAGGAGGAGGATGAGGAGGAGGAGCATGAGGAGGAGGAGGAGGGAGGAAGGAGGAGGAGGAGGAGGAGGGGGAGGGGGAGGAAGGAGGAGGGAGCGGAGGCGGGACTCGCGGCGCCAGGAGCTCGCCGAATCCAGGAAGGAGGAGGCCGACCTCAAGGAGGGAGAGTTCCACCTAAAGGTCGACAGGCGGCTTCTGGAGTCCTCCTCATCATCGTTGTCCTGATTATCGCCGTTCCTCCTTCTCTGCATCCTGCCCCCCTCCCTCTAGCTCTTCTCTCTTCTCCTCTTCCCCTCCTGCGTCCGCCATGCTCGTCCTTCCCCTCCTCCTCCTCTCCCTCCTCCTTTTCCTCCTCCTCCTGCTCAACATCCCCATCCTCCTCCTCGTTTCTCCTCTTTCCTCTTCCTCCTCCGCCTGCCCCATCCCCCATCCCTCCTACCTCCTCCTGCCTCCTCCTCCTTCTCCTCCTCCTCCTCATCATCCTCTCTTCCCTCCTATCATCCCTCCTCCTCCTCCCTCTGTCCGTTGTGGGCCTCCGTGTCCGTTCATTCCTCCCTCTCCCTCATCCTCCTCTTCCTCCTGCGCCTCCTGTTCTTCATCGCCCTCACGACCGCTGGCACCGTCGGCGCCCACAGGGGGGGGGGGGCGGGGGGGCACAAGCAGGAGAGGGTATGCGGCAGAGATGGGTTGTAGGAGGGAGGGCGGACGAGGGTGGAGTCAGGAACGGTGAGTGAGGAGGCAGTGAGGGAGCGAGGGCGCGAGCGAAGAGGGCGGGAGGTAGCAGCAAAAGGGTCGTCGTTGAACGATGAACGATGTTGTGAGAGTCAACCCTGTGCTCAAAGCAAAAGGGAGGGGGTGGAAGGGGAGGGATGAGCAGGTGGACAGGATGGAGGATAGAGAAGTGGGACAGTCGAAGGGACGGCGGCGGGCAGAGTCGAAATGGGGGGGCGCAGGAAAGAGGAGGAGGAGGAAGAGGAGGAGGAGGACGACGGTGACAGGGCAGAGAGCCATCAATCCGAATCAGAGCAAGCGGTGCCTGTGGAGGGAGCGTTCGGGGCTCCCTCGAGGGAGGGGGGAGGGGAACAGGCTGGCTTGCTGCCCCACCGTTGGGCGCTCAGGCTGGTTGACCGCGTGAAGGACCTGGAGAAGACCGGGGAAACGCTGGTCAGCAGGGCGGAGATGCAAGCCAGCATGGGCGGCATGGATGCAGCAGGAAGCCATTACTTTGCGCCGTCGGCCACAAATCGACAATGGGAGGCAGGGGCCAGGACTATGATCTGAGCATGTCGAGATGCACCGCGGCTCTGCAAGGTGGCCCATGGCATTGCTCAGACACGCGGCTGCGTCGTGGGAGGCACAGAGGGTACCAATGTCTGCGATGTCCTTGCTTCGTCCTTGCTGAATTGGCAGCGCGTGATGCACCGGCGGTCTGGTTTGACTGTTGGGCTTAGTCAGTAGCAGCAGCGCAGCGGATGTCACGTCCACGCGCGCAGGCCCCCTCCTCTGGCATCGGCGGCCTGCCTCTCCCTCCTGCTCCGTGGAGGGACGCGCGGTACGTTGGCCGTGCACGTGCCACGGGACTGTGTTCCCCAGTCCCCGCTCAGTCTCCCCTGGCATCCGATGTCGAGAAACAGACACCCACACACACACTCACACACACACACACACTCCCACAGACACTGCTTGTGGCGGCACCGTCGCAAAGCGCCAAGTCGGGACACGCGTAGGCGAGTTTCCATTTGGCGTAGCAGACGGCTGGATTGGACAAAGGCAGTCGCTCTCAGAGAAACGCTGGGACGCGCGTACACGTGGAAGATGCCGGATCGGCCATGCAATTGCAGGAGGATGGCCGAGCACGAACACACAAGCACACACACATAAACACGCACACGCACATCTTCTTTTCCACGCATAAACACACATAAACAGTAGCACAGACACATAAACAAGCACACACACACATAAACATGCGAGCACACGCACACATAACACGCACGCACATCTTCGGTCAGGGGAGCAGGAGGTCATGCAATTGATACGCTCCCAGATTTGCCGCATTCCCTGACGCCCCACACGGGCTGCAGCAGCGAGGGATATCCTAGAAGGGAATCCGGGGAATGCTAGATACTCCTTGGGAATCCTGTGACTCAAGGCCTCCTGGATGGGGTCGGAGTAGATGGGGTCGGGCGATCGCGCCGCATCGCCGATGCATCGGCGATGCGGCTGGGTGTGGAGCCCAACGTTCTCCATGCCGACGTTGCTGATGCATCGCCGTCGTCGCCGATGCATCATCGCCGTCGTCGCCGATGCATCGCCGATGTGTCGGCGATGCGGCGGGATCCTCCGACACTATCTTCTCCGACCCCATCGTAGGAGGCCTCTGCCAACCCTCTCGCGACGTTCCTCTCGCCCCGATGTATCGGCGATGCGGTGGGATCCTCCAACCCCATCTTCACCGACCCCGTCGTAGGAGGCCTCTGCCAACCCTCTCGCGACGTTCCTCTCGCCCCGATGTATCGGCGATGCGGTTGGATCCTGCATCCCCGGCGATGCGGTGGGACCCTCCGTCCCCATCTCCTCCGACTCCGTCGTAGGAGGCCTTTGCCAACCCTCTCGCGACATTCCTCTCGCCCCGATGTGTCGGCGATGCAGCGGGATGCTCCGACCCCATCTTCTCCGACCCCGTCGTAGGAGGCCTCTGCCAACCCTCTCGCGACGTCCCTCTCGCCTGGCCTCCTGCCGATATCATCCTCCTCTTCCTCTCCCTCCTCCTCCTCCTCGCCCTCTTCCTCCTCCTCCTCCTCCACCACTTTCCAGCTCGCGCTCCTCCTCCTCCTCCTCCTCCTCCTCCTCCTCCTCCTCCACCTTCTCCTCCTCCTCCTCCACCTTCTCCTCCTCCTCCTCCTCCTCCTCCTCCTCCTCCTCCTCCTCCTGCTCCTCCTCTTCCTGCTGCTCCTCCTCCTAGGTGGCCCCCTGCGGCCCATCGCCCCCCTGCTGCCGTTTTGCTTGCGGGGGCGCGCAGGGTGGCGCCGCCATACGGGAGCCCCCAGCCAGGCGCTGCGTGCCTGGCGTGACGCCGCCGCCGTTGGGCGGCCGAGCGGCCGCTGCTGGCGAGGCGGCCCAGGTGCTTGCCTCCCCCGCGGCGCCAGAGAGAATCCGTGGTACAGGCGCTTGCGCCAGAAGAGAAGCCGTGCCCGACTCCTGCTTCGGGTACATCGCGTTGCACGTCTCCTCCGCCAACACCACGGTTCAGAGGTGCCCCAGCCTTTCATGGGCAAGGGCGCCCCGCGCGATGGCTCCCAGGGCCCCCAGGGTCGTTGGGCGTGCGTGGCGACCCGCCAGTGCGGGTTCCAGAGAAATTGTTCTGGCAACGATCGCTGCCATCGCTGCGGCCGTGATCGCTCAGGCCGCCCTGCCCCAGAGGGATGGACCCCCCTCAGCAGGGCACCGAGCGGTCAGCGTCGGCGGGAGCGGCCAGACGACCTGCCTCAGCTCGCGACACCGCGTCGGTCAGCTCCAGTGCAGCCGAAGATGTGGACCACGACGGGCAAGGCCTTGCAGACACTCTGAAAGTTGCGGCTCGATGACGACTGTGAGCTCCTGCTCGCATCGAAGAAGCAGCTGGCGGCCGCAGAGGAGCAGGAGCGATCCAGTCGAGCACCTGACGATCTACTGCGACGGGCCTTGGACAGGCAGTCAACCAAGGTCCGAGAGCACGCCGCTGTTGAGGTGGAGGTCGCACTGTTGAGGACCAAGCTCGAGGCCAAGCAGCTGGAGCTGGAGGGCCTGGCTCAGGAGGTGCACGCCATTCGCCTGGAGGTCAGCACTTCTCGAGCTGCGGTCATGGCAGCAAGCGCCCCGGCGAGCGAGCAGGGAGCCTCCGCCTCAGGGGTCGATCAAGCCCTCGGACGCTTGCAGGCCCTGGTCGCCCCCGCCCCAACAGCAGTGCAGGCTGGCAACAGTGCCACCGCACTCACCTCCATTGGCGCTCACCTCGTGGAACTGCACCGAGCCTTCGAGAAACACAAGCGCACCATTGGAGGGGGGGGCGCCTCGGGCCAGAACACTCAACCAGCAGCGGGTTCGCAGTCACCGGCAGCGGCTGCCAGGGCCCCACCTCCTGCAGGATTGGAAGGATACCTACGCGGCGCAGTCGCAGTGGGAGACCGCCTGGTCACAGCAGCAACGGCCACACCAACTGCGAGCGCGGATGCCTCAGCAGTGACAGTGGCCGCCACACCGCCAGGGTGACGATCAGAAGGCACCGCTACCACTTCCACCTACGCGTGACAGTTCTGTTGCAGTGGGTGGGCTCCAGGTGGCCGTTTCAGATTATCCTTCGTTGTTTTCGCACTTGGCTGATGGCGACTCAGGTAGTGCGCAGCAGCAAGAATCGGACCACAGCAGTGTCATATCCCGTTATCAGATCATACGCCATTTTTTGGCCCACATCTGGCTGAGGGTGATTCAGGTGATGTGCAGCATGACGGCAGTGGTGCTAAGACTTCCTAGTCGAGCGCGTCGAGATCATGCTCTTCCGCTTTGGCCACTGGCGATGCGCCAGGTTTTGAAGGAGGCCAGGACATGTTCACGAAGCACCTTGCGTCGTACGCCCAGCACTGGCACGCGGACACGGCCTGCTGGGAAGACGACTACATGGTCTATGAGGACTTGGAGCATTGGTGCATGCCGTATGTGGAGGCAGTCATTGCAGAGCCCCCCAGCCTCAACGCGATGGTCACTACTCCTGAGGAGGTGCACAGGCTCGCTGAGAGTCTGCACTTCCATGCGTGGGCGGAGGCCGCCGAATGCTGCGCGGAGATGGTCGATTACATGCAGCGTATTCGGACCGCGCCAGCGCACTGGTATCGTTAGCTCCTTCAGAGTTTACAGGAGCTTCGGACGACGCGTCTTCAGCCAGCGACGGAGCAGGCAGACCAGGCCTACGCGAGATTCCTTGTCAGCGAGGCGTCGAGGCTACATGGCTCAGCTATCGCGGTGGCCGCTCGGACGAGACGCCTCCTCGAGCTCCAGCAGTCTATCGTCCCAGAACCCATGGTTTTGGATCCTGAGCCCCCTGGACAGGGCGTTGCGCATGGCGATCTGAACAATGCAACCTCCTTGCTCCAGAGCCGGACTGACATGCCGGGACCGAAGCTTCATGATGCCGAGCGCGCCTGTCCGGTGAGTCGTGCCCGAGCGTCTGGTGGAGCTGGTGCGCGGAATCAGGCATCGTGCAACAGCGCGATCAATCAGATGCCACTGCAGCGGACCCAGACATTGTCGCCTGCAGCACCGCAGCAGGCACAGTTTGAGGCCGATGCTGCTACGCCCACGGCTGACGTGGATGTCGTTCAAGGGTCGCAGCACGTTGCCACGGGGCATTTTCTATTGTGCGGGGCTGCCGACGGGCAGGCTGGCACCCTGCCTTGGCAGGCGAGTCGGCGCGGCTTCCACTCCCCTCCCACGCAGGCGCGGCGGCCCAGGGGCCCCAGCCGTGGAGGTGGTCGATGCCCCCCCGGATCGGAGCAGGCGCCACGGCGCAGGCGGCATTGGCAGCGACGACCCCTGCGATGCGGTGGGCTCTTGACGCCTGGCCCGCGCGCGCAGATGGCGTCTCCAACGCCAGCCCAGCGGGGCGACGTCAACGAGGGCGTCTGCAACGTGGTGCGCGCCTTCCAGCCCCCAACACAGCCTGGCACCTTCATGTTTCAGCCGACCCCTGCTGCCCAGAAGATGAGGTTGGTCAACCGTCACTTTCCAGGCGCGGTTGAAGATCTGACAATTCGGCGAAGAGGGTATACCATCATCAATGATGAAGGGCCCTGTGGCTCGGAGCCCAGCCCGTCTCACCTGAGGCCCTCGTGGCCCAGGCCACTGACGCGCGGAATCATGATCCCTCGTCGTCTGGGGCTCTTCCTCGTGCTGTGGGGCCCACATGGTTGCGCGCGCACCTGCTACAGGGGAATGCGCGACCACTGGGCGGGCAGCCACTACTTCGCGCAGCTCGAGAGCCCCGGGGCCACGCAAGTCGAGAAGGGCCCCCAAGGGCGGCAAGCGCACGGACTTTCGAATCGCCACTTTCAACGGGAGCGGGTGGTCACAGCTCGTGGACTTCCTCGGGCGCGGCCTTCGCTGCCAGGCGGTGCACGCCCAGGAGCTCAGACTTCGCGGTGATCAGCTGGCGCGTGCCCAGGAAAGGGCTGCCGCGCA